CAGTATGCTATTAAGAAGGATCTCCTCCTCGATTGGAGTGAGATTGCTATTCTGTGGCATATAGTCCTCTCGAGCAGGACTTCCTTTCAATCTCCGAAGCAGCGTTGATTTTGAGACACCGTAGGTTTTTGCAGCAGCATTTACAGATCCTATGTCACCTGATCTGAAAGCTGATATTGCAAGCAGTACACTCCCTTCGTTTGAGCTCTTTTGGACGCGTTTTGATGGTGCCATCGCGTGTTGAAGTTGTTGTTGTTATGGACACGTAATTCGTGGACCACGCCGTGGGGTGGACCGCGCTCTGGTGTTTGACGTTACTAGGATTCATTTCCGAGGGACCTAACGTCCTAAGAGAAACGTGAAACGGATAGCGGTTTTTTTCAAAAAATAATCGAACATATTACGAATGAAGTTATAGTCGATTATTAAATATATATAGAATAGATTATAACGAGTAAACGAAAGCTCGATAGTACACTGATAAGTTACTATCGAAAATCAGGAATCGAAACACTACACATGAATTAAGGTAGATAGAATTGCACTACGGGCCAATTATTTGTTCGTAGTGTCATCTACAGCATCCGCATATCTCAACTAATCGAGTGTTCTATGTTCCCAATACGCCGTCTCGGCGTCCTGGACCTCATCCATCCTCGCAAGAGCCTTAATTGCCCACAATCTTTCCTGTTCATCCTTTGCGGAGACAGCGCGACGCTTATACGTAGCATGCCATTTGTTCCATCTTCCGATCGAGTAGAACCCGTCGTCGTCGTTCGCGTTCGAACTTGTGTGCTCATAAACGGCTTCCTGGCCGTATTGGCATAGCCGATGAATTTCGTGTCCGAATATACTCATATAGACCGCTGCTTGTTCCCGCCAAGCATGGGTGCTGTTGATTTCTTCCACGCCAAGGAACAAATAGCGAAGGACTGTGACAGAGTCGAGACTTGAAACAAGTGATTGACCTCGAATATACATATCGCTAAGAATCCCGCAGAAACGGGTGAAATTCTGCCACGAATTGCCTTCCCATACTTCTCTGTTAAACTCCGTGGAATCGACTCTAGGATGAGCTGCTGTAGCGTTAACGTCGGTACCGCCCTCAAAGAATCCGTCATACTCACTATCAAGAGCCTCTCTTATCCAAAGCTGAAGACTAGGCATCTGTGACCAGATCCTATCGCCTCCTTCTCCGGTGAGTGGTGCGTCTGGCTGGATTGTCACCGGTCGCTTCCAGAAATCCCCAATCTCATATGTGAGCTCCGCTCCAGTGGAATTGATGAGATCGTCACGGAAGGCCAACGCGGACACCAATTGCGCGAGTTTCATGCTTGCGCCTTGCTCGTCAACAAATTTTGCCGCGTCCAGGATTATTTCGACGACGTTGAGATATATGCCGAATCTTTTCTCAGCTGAGTAGGAGAGTATGATATTTTCCAGCCTGTCGGCGCCCTCTTGAAGGACTGCATTGTCCTCGGATTCAAGAATGTCCTCCAGGACTCGAATGATACGTGCTGTTTCCCTGCGGACCGGCGGCAAAGTCTTGTTCGGGATTCTGCGGTCGATGTTCTCCTGGGCGTACACGCCGCCATGTCGTTGGGTCATAGAGTCATAGACAAAATCTTGAACGCCATGTTGTTCATCCTCTGCAAGCCGTTTCAATTCCCTAGAAACCCATTCTTTTGTGGTCCCAGACATGCTACTGTCAATGAGGAATGGACAATGTTTTTGAAGATGAGGACTGAATGGAATGATGGGTTTTTGCAAGCCTTGTGTTGTGCACAAACACACTGAGGTGTGATGCTATATTAATGTAGGGAATTGACCCTTCGTGAGTAATATGGCGACTCACGATCAGTATAGTGCCAACTCTTGAAAGACTGCTGGCCTGGCTTCTTTACTGCGCCTCAGTCGCTGGGCGGCTTCCATCCAGTGCGCACAGCGGTCTTGATGCGTAATGCCATATCAGCTTTGCGAGTTTTATACAAGAGGTGGACACATGCAGTCGTGCGGCCCAGTCACGGTTTCGCGATCAGCCCGCAGATCAGGCCGCCCTAGTTTGGGCTTGACTTGAAATCCTGCTCGATCGCCATTCAACATGCGCGAGCACGTGGCAAGTTCGCAGGACATCTCAGTGCAAGACCGCCTAACTGAATACCATGGTTCACATCCAGTAGATGCCATGGGTAGGTACTACGAGTGGTATGAGCTAAAGCTCTGACTTGCGATGAGGGCCACAACCTTGGAAGTTTCACTTCGGATCCAGAACCTGAGCATGTACCCCAGAACCAACCAAGACGAATCTAGCGTAAAATCCGGTCTGACGTCCACTCTTCTGCGTCAGCAGGCTCAACTATATGATGTTGTCAGACAACAGAGCGTGTTATTCGTGCTATGAAGTCTGGTAACAGTTAACCACACTGGACGACGCTATCGCTCAGAACAAGATGTGTCAAGATCGCCGAGCACAGGTGATGGCAGACTGAACAGACCTAGCACAAATAGGTCCATGTGCAAGCCAGGAAGCATGATGGCGAGCGTCGCAGTGTCCATGTGTGATCTGATCAAGAAACTATGCATATGAGGTGCGGCCGGGATACTGCGGCGCCAGCGCTGGACCACGAGCAGAGCTAGTTCCAACACTCAGCAGCGCCAAGGTACAATACATCTCTCAAGGCGGCAGATCAGTCTGAAGACTCCAACCTTGAAGGATGGAACGAAAGGGCCCACCATTCGCCAAACGAGTCCCAGCCAGGTGGCACGTCCGATTCAAGGAGTCGAATAGTCCTTCTCATCCACCGACGAAGCTATAAAGACTCCCACTCGCACAGCATTTGACGAGGAACATCATCTCGAACTTTCAGATACAACCAGTCTACACTTTACGCCATCTAAATCTCTATCAAACTTCCAATTTTTGCAACTGCCTGCCGACAAATCGATTATCGTAGCCATGCGTTTCGACGGGATAGCCGCTCTTGCGCTTGCACTTTTCGCCTACCATGGACAGGCCGCACCTGTTGACGAACAGGAGTCATCGGCCTCGCATCTGCTAGGAAAGCGTGCTGTCTGCGGAGGTTTATCATTACATTCCTGATTGGCGAAGTTGAAACACTGACCTTACTTCTCCAAGGGGTCAAATACAGCAACGTCGCCATGCAACAAGGATTCGAACATGCCATTGACGCGTACAAGCACAATTCACGGTTGAAAGGTTCAGCTAAAAGTAAGTCGCTTCTACGCGAGCACTTTCGGCAGATCACAGCTGAGAATACCTTCCTAACCCTGCTGTAGTGAGATATCCTCACAGCTTTCGCAATGATGAGGAGCTCAACTCGCCATCTTGCAAGAAAGGTACGCCTGGGCTTTTCGAGTTTCCAGTCTACCCTGATGGGAAGGCCTGGAGGCCAGGCATGGATCCCGGAGCCGACCGAGCAGTCGTGCGCGACCACGGAAACGGCGTTTTCACGCAGTGCCAATTCATGACCCATACAGGTGCAGCCAGAAGGAACGGTTTTGCCAGATGCTCGGCTTCTTAGTCACATGCACGGTGTGGCAAGTCGGGATATGACGACCATGCTACCAGGTAGAAATTAGATCGGCAAGATACAAGAAATGCGAAATTCCAGAAATCTGCGTATTCGAGCCTGGTGAACCTCTGTAGTCATTCGCTCGAATCTCCGCTAGAGGCACTACATCTGCAATTGTGAAACGAATACCCAGTCCACGAACCTCCGCCGGCTTCAGACAGCACAAGTGATAGTCCTTGGACTTACAGCCCTCAAAGGGCGCACGAGGAAGATAGGGGGTTCGATACAGTGCATGATCGTGATGGGGGCTAAGCAGGGCAGGAATATACAAGTCGATCATATTATATTATACTCTGCGACTATATCCACCACCGTACCCTCTCCTCTCTTTCTGCCGGCGTTCGTACCATTTCCTGCCCTCATCGACCCACAGAACCGTACTCGCCATGAGTATCAAACGCAGAAGATCAGTGAAACTCAACGCTTCCGTCTGGAAGACTCTCTGCAGAGGTGGGAAATATATGACCAGACCCTGACCGAGCAGGCTACCCACAACAGCGTAGTTGAACATTCTATTTCCACCTTTGCCGGAAGATAGGGGTAGCTCGCCGCGGAGGACAGATTTGCCTTCGGATCGACAGGTGAGCGCGTTGAACATATCGAAGAGCACGAATTGGGTGAATGTGAGGGTGGTATCCCGGTCGGATACGCTGTGTGCGGCGAGGTCCTCGGCGGTCAAGTTTGAGACGTAGGTGAAGAGTGTGCCGATGAGGATGACAGATGCAGATTGGAGGACTCGACGGATGAGGCGTGGCGTGAGGACACGGGCATTTCGAGGGCGTGGCGGGAGTGAGAGCAACTCTGGATCCACAGGTTCTACACCAAGGGATTGTGCTGGCGGGCCATCCATGAGAATATCTAAATGGCATTTTCAGTAAAGCGTCGCGGTAAACAAATCATGGTAGAATAGACATACTAATCCAGAGAATCTGCATCGCATTGAGCGGGTTCTTCCAACCGCCCAAGCTGCTCATCATGACAATTCCCAATGCTGCGACGCTGGTGCTTAACTGGAAAGTGATGAAGTTTTGAATGTTGTAAAAAATGCCTTTGCCTTCTTCGATGGCGGCCAAGATAGTACTGAAATCGTCGTCGGTGAGAATCATGTCGGCGGCTTCCTTGGCCACGTCGGTGCCCAACTTGCCCATGCTGATACCAATATCGGCCTTCTTCAAGGCTGGTGCATCATTAACACCATCGCCGGTCATTGCGACAACATCACCGCGTGCTTGCAGTGCTCTGATGATCTTCATCTTGTGGTCGGGGCTTGTGCGGGCAAAAATGCTGACATTGTTCACTGCGGCCTGCAAGTCACCGTCGCTCATGCCATCCAGTTGATCGCCGCGCAGCACAGGTGAGCCCAGTGCCGAGTTCATGTTTATCGGCATTCCAAGCTTCTTGGCGATCGCAACCGCAGTAGTCTCGGCGTCCCCGGTGATCATGATAACCTTGACGCCGCCTGCCATGAGCCGGCGAATGCTACGATCAACGCCTTTCCGAGGGGGATCTGACATTCCGACAAGACCAGTGAATGTCAGACCAGTGTATGTGTCCTCGACTCCACGGGCAGTTGTCGTGGGGGTGGAGGCGCGACCTCTGTCCGCTTTAGAACCTAGACGGACACTACCGGAGCCAAAGGCGAGAACTCGAAGACCTTCTTCTGCCATTGCATTGGCTGCTTGTTCGACTTCTCGCCTCCGCTGTTCGTCCAGAACAATCTCATCACCTTGTGTAGTGAGATACGTATCGCAACGTGTGATCACCCGCTCGAGAGCGCCCTTGATATAAGCTGTAGCACTGCCTGCTTGACCTTCAATGACCACTCCCTGCCATTTGCGCTCACTCGAGAAGGACACCTCCTGCTGCCGCTTGCCGACTCGCTCGCGAACATCGTCTTCGCCAAACTTGTCCAGCAGATCTAGCAATGCAACATCGGTAGGCTGCCCAGCCCAGCGACTAGTTCCGCTCGATGACTCGTCTCCGCCGGTACTCGCCAGAACTGCAGCACTACCAGCGGAGACTTTTCCAGGAAGTTCGTTAGAGTTTAAGATCGCATTATTGACAATGTTAGCACTTCGTAGAACAGCTTGTGTCGTCGGCCCATTCGGCGCGTCTGTGCGGACTGTTTGCACGTCCATCGGGGCACCATTTCCAAAACTCCACATTTTGCTTGCTGTCATATGATTCATGGTCAGGGTACCGGTCTTGTCAGAGCAAATGATATTCACAGAGCCAAGGGTTTCCACAGATGGAAGCTTGCGGACAATGGCATTGCGCTTGCTCATACGAAGCACACCGAGCGCCAGCGTTACTGTCACGATGATTGGCAGACCTTCGGGAATCGCCGCCACTGCGAGCGAGACTGCGATTTGGAACAACTCCAGGAATTTCATCCCACGCCATAGACCAATCAGCACGATGACAGCAATAACGCCAAAGGACATGTAGCTGAGATCCTTGCCGAGTCGATCCATGCTCTGCTGCAAAGGCGTCCGTGGAGACTCGATCTCCTGCAGAGAAGCACTGATGGCTCCGAATTCCGTATCGCCGCCAGTCCCAATCACAATGCCCTGGCCATATCCCGAGCGAACAAGCGTTCCCTGAAATGCGATGTTGGTTTGATCGGTCAACCGAAGTTCCCCATTATTCGAAAGTGTTCGAACGAGTGGTGATCCACCCCCGTTCTGCTGAGCGCTGGGAGTGGCGATATCCTCGCTTTTCCTGACAGGCTCGTTCTCACCCGTGAGATTGCTCTCATCTATACTCAAATCTGCTGAATGCGTGATTCGAATATCCGCTGGCACTCTGTCACCAGTATGAAACAAAACAAGATCGCCCGGCACGAGCTGCGAGGCAGAGATAGTTGTGCTGGCACGTTCAGCGGCGGGATAGTCGCTCATACCAGGCCCGGACAGTTTTCCGTTTTCACCACTTTCACTCTTCACGCCTCCATTGCTCCTGATGACATGCGCATAGTGCGGCACCAATTGGTTCAAGGCCTCCAGGCTCTTTTCACTGCGATACTCCTGCACAAAGGCCACCGACACAACAATGGTCACAGCAATGGCGATAGATATCGCGTCCTCATAGTTTTGCATGACCGCCGAGATGAAGGCGCTCCCCAATAGTAGGAGAATCAATGGCTCTTTGAACTGATCCAGAAATCGCCGCCATAACGGATCTGGCTCGTCATGTGGAAGCTCATTGGGTCCTTGAGTTTGCAGCCGTGCACTCGCATCCTGCGGCGATAGACCATGGGTCAAGGATGTGTGATGGCGATCGGCGACATCCTGTGGCGACAGGCGGGAATGCTGGCCAGTGATTGTTTGCTGACCGGGTAGTTTCAAGCGACTGGGAGAGCGTTGATGGCCAACAGCCTGCTGTGACTGCGGATTGCCTGGCGGTAACCTCAAAGAATTGCTCGAGCTCGACCTGGAGACATTGCTGGGGTTGTGTAGTGGGAGAGTGGATGCATTGTCGCGTGACATGCTTCAGGTCATCAACGCCGACAGATGATGTTGTCGAGGATGAGGTTATCGGGTAAGGTCACTGCATTGGGACGAATGGCTGATCGAGTGTTCTGTTGAGCAAATCTAATATTGACTGCGTCGTCGTTTTCGGCAAGGATCAGAGGACTCGCGCTGTTGAGTATGCGCGCGATCTAATGATAATATTGCAATGAGACTGAATGGCGAGATTTGTGGGATCCAGCTACTGGATGTGTACTCTCCGCAAAAGTTACATGGAGAAGCCGGGGATCGTTAATAATTATTACTATTACAAGCTACGGTTGTCTGTCAACTCCATCCAGGGCGGGCTCCCGATAGATCTCTCCCATACCGCGGCCGGTGTGCCGTTCGTTATGTTTGGATTGATGTCCCACACAAGGTCTCATACTTTATCTCAACTCACTGACAAATAATGGATGGATTCCTCATCTCGACCTGCATCTCCCTGCAGTCCGGTACAGTGCAGTACCTGAGAGCCACATGCGACTGGCCATCGAAATCGCATGATGATGTAACAACAGCAATATCAGGCTCGAATGGAACCCCAGAATGTAAACATACCTAAGCATATTTTGTACGAACCGGCTGGCTATTGACGGACGGTCATATTTACTACTTCACGTGTACGTACGTCCTTCTCCCACAGATTGATGAGCGACGGCATAAAAGTCGTGGACGAGATCCGCAAATGCCTATCGTGTCTCTGGCGAAAGCAATTGGGCGTGGAGGCGATCTTTCCGCATCGGCAATCCGATGTGTCCCAGCCTCCCAATAAATTCCCATCGGTTGTGAAGTGGTAAGCCTTTCATGGGCTGGGTGTGCCAAATCCGGGGGACACAACTAGGGCAGGGATTCACGGTCATCTGTGTTGTCGCCTGCCCGCCTGCTGTGCGCGTCCCGCCGGATTTGTTATGCGACACACACACACACACACGCTACCTGGGGCATACGGCAGACTCACTCCAGCCAGCTCTGAAGCCAGCCAACGCGCTCGCGGCGGGCGCAATCCATCGTCCAACTCGTCATTCTGCTCGCCCGCTTCCTTTCCCATCCCTTCCCTCACTACACTACAGTACGAACAACAACAACAACGACTACCGACACCCATTATTGCGGCAACACAATCTCCCATATACACGCACGCGCGGTATCACCATCCTGCAATCGCCTCGAGAAATGCATTCATAGCCCAATTTTAGTTGTGCATTTCATCCAACCTTTTTCCGTGTGAAGCTCGGTTCGTCGCGCGCGAACGACCGACGCGCTCCAATCAACATCAAAACACCAATTCGCATAACATTCGGTGACCGGATCTTCGAATCGAGTGTCGGCCTTCACCGACGTCGCCTGCGACGCGCGCAGTCAATACAATCCTTCTGCATCTCGACGTCGCGTCGCGCTCATCGCTATGTTTTATTCAGAGTCACTGCTGTCCAAGACGGGACCACTCGCCCGAGTCTGGTTGGCTTCTAACCTCGACCGAAAACTCACCAAACAGAATGTTCTCGCTTCAAAACTCGAGGACAATGTGAAGGATATCATCGGCGGAGGGCAGGCGCCCATGGCGCTGCGTCTCAGCAGTCAATTGTTGTTGGGCGTGTGCAAAATCTACAATCGCAAAGCCACCTATCTTATGGATGATTGTAGCGAGGCGCTTCTGAAGATCAAGATGGTATGCATGCTGAACACAAGTCCACGTCGACATTCTCGTACTGACGCGTCCCATGTAGGCCTTCCGACCAGGAAATGTCGATCTTCCGAGCAACCAATCCCACAAAGCAAACCCGAACGCGTTGTTACTTCCGGACACCATCACTGAACTTGACCTGTTTGCGCCACTGCCTGACCTAGACGATTTCCTCGCAGGCAACGATGCACGCGCGCCGGGTCAGGACCCGACTCTGCTCGACTTTGGAATGAGTCAGATCCTTGACAGCCAGACACCCGCGAGGCGACAAGAGAAACGCCTGCTCCAATTGGACGACGATGACCTCGGGCTGGAGATTGGCTTTGATGATGATGACAACTTCATGCGCTCACCACGTATGAGTGAAGGTCCAAGCATCGAAATTGGTCGTCGCGCGCAATCAATACGCCCAGACCAGCCCAGTCTGCTCGAAGACGATCTGGGTTTGGAGCTGGGTATGGACGATGACACTCTCGGGCCGGACACAACTCTCCGGCCCATGACTCCAGCCATGCTAGAGGAGGATGTGCAGATGGGTGGAATGGATGATGAGATCGCCGCCGCGAATGCAGCAGCGTTGGCCCGTGCCGATGCTGCACAACGCCGCCAGCGCGGATCAGAATCACCACTTTCTTCTGTGCGGTCGAGCGTAGAGCGGGATCTGGAGGAAACCTTCCAGCTTCACTCGACCAACATGCAGCTCGAGGAAGAAGATCCGACGCTCATTCAGGCAGCACAGCGCGTGAAGCGCCGAAAGGTCCTTACCATGGACGCTGAGACAGAGCTGAACACCGATGAGATCAGACTACAACAGTCAGACCGTTCTGCTATCACGAAAGCTCCCACATTCCTACCGCGCGACCCACTTCTTCTCCAGCTCATGGAAATGCAGCGAAACGGCACCTTTGTCAGCAATCTCCTTGGCGACGGCTATCTCCAAGGTTGGGCTCCTGAGCTTCGCGGCATCCTTTCGCTCGAGATTATTCGCAAAGCAGGCGACAAGAAGCGCAAACGCGACTCTGGCATTGCTGATGTTGGCACCGACGAAGAGGTCGAAGTCAACAATGAAGCGCATCAAAGCAGCCCACAACTCGACATCCCACAAGATGAGGATGATTTTGGTCATGGCGCACCTACGCCTGCTCCAATGTTCTCGAACGATCTCGATGACGATGTAGAGCCCCTCGAGGATTCGTACAACGCCGGAAATGCCAACTTCGACATCACAGAAGCACCACTGCTTCACCCATCACAATCAGGTCCCGTGGCCCTCGGCACGAAGAAGATGGTGCACGTCCTCCGCGAACACTTTGCGCCGACGCACACATCCTCTACGCTCGTGCCACCGACTCCATCTAAGCGCACCAAGAATTCTGCGTTGTTCACCGACCTCTGCCCTGAGGCTTCAACCAGCCGCGACATGGCTACTAAGATGTTCTTCGAGCTTCTCGTACTGGGTACCAAGGATGCCATCAAAGTAGAGCAGGACAACCGCAGCTCGCTTGGCGGACCAATGCGCGTTCGTGGCAAGCGTGGTCTCTGGGGTGACTGGGCTGAGATGTCCAACGCTCTCGATGCGACACAAACACAACCAGCAGCGCTTCCGTCTGTCTTGGAGCAGAACGAAGAAGTCGCCGTGGCGTGAGCGCAGGCGATATGAATGAGTCGAATGAAATCCAATGCTCTCGCATTGTTCCTCTGCTCGTCGAGCAATTTACGTCACAACGATTCAAGAAAAGACGATCAATCCGTGTCAAGATCCGCTACAAGAGACGACGAAATATCATTGCCGTCGTCGGTCAATAACAGGGTTCAATCTGGAGAATGCCTTGACCGCAAAGTCTTGCCCGCTCGTGCGGGTTGTGGTCGACTGCGCTGCAGCGTTTGATTCTTACTCGAAGATGTCTTGACCTCGGCTTGTTTGACTTTACACCCTTTGTCATCAGCGATTGGTATTCTATTTTTCAAACGAACTGCGAGATTTCGCAAAATGGGACGCTATTCTTGCACTTCGTCACGCAGTGGTGATGGCGTTGGATGCCGCAGGACTGCTGAGATACCACCGGAAATGTCTGCAATTGGAGTTATTCTACATGGACAAGTATAGTAATTATTAGACAAAATGTAACGATTTTGAAGAACTCCAATGATTTGACTCACTGTAACCTCCAGGGCCCTCTCGATGCATGGTTTCACCCAGGGTATTCGCCTGCTGTCATCCGGAATCTGCCGTTGTGACAACACAGCAAATCCTGGCTGCCGTTGCTTGTGCTGCGATGTGATACACCAATTTCATACCTTGTGCAAGACCTGTGACGTTGATGACCATCTCAGGCGGTGACGATGACCTCTCGCATCGCCACGAGCCATTCACTCTGCGCTCTTGCCATTAATCTCGTCCTTGCTTTCGCTCATCCCAACCGATGTGAGCAATCAACGTCAAAACTTGTCATCGTGACCTGAACCACACGGTAAGCTTTGGAGCAACAGCGAAGATAACTTCCTCTTAAACCATACTCTCTTCACCTTACTTGATCACTCATCGGCATGCCAAAGATCAACCTCGTCGACAACGATCCGCCAGAAGACCGACCGGCAACAAAGCCATCAACGAAAGCAATGTCTTCAAAGACGTCTAACACGACACCAAAGCCAACGGCGGCGAACAAGACGAGCTCCACGTCGAGTAAGCCAACGCCTTCGACGTCCAAGGTTGCTGATGCGACCATCAAACCAACACCCAGTAAGCCAGTATCTAACTCGACACCAGCCTCGAAAGCTACGTCCAGCAAGCCTTCAACCGGCTCAACGACAGCTTTGAAAACACACGCGCCACCCAAACCTCAAAGTCAGAATGCCGGGTCAGCAAGCACGGCAAACAAGCCAATAGAGTCTCCTTCCAAACCATCCGTGACGAACAAGACAAAGACAGCGACCAAAAGTGTTTCAGCGGGCCACAAAACTTCATCTCATGCAAGTACACCCAGCGCTGTGAAGATGAAGCCTGTCCCTCCAACAGTCCTCCCGCAGCGGAAAAAGCCTGTTCCTCCTCCAGTGGCGGAACAAACGAAGAAGGTCAGCGAGACAGCCACAGCTGGTACAAGCAGTTCCAAGACGCCAGGTATCTCGAGTGTTAAAACACGTTCGCAAGCGAAAGCAGGCACTGCTTCGACTACTGCAAATGATCGTGCTGGGAATTTCAAGAAGGGTGAAGGTGATATCAGCAAGAATCTCAGCGCAACCACCGGTGGCGTCGTCGGTGGCCTGAGCGAGACTGCAAAGGGTGTGGGATCAGCTGCACGCAAGGGAAACGTCACCGGTGTGGTCACTGGAGCCGTCAAGGGTACTGGACAGACCGTTAGCTCTACAGGCAAAGGAGTGGGAGATACTCTGAGTGGTGTTGGCATGGTAAGATATTTCGTCAAAGACGAGAGCAGCATCGTTAATGTTTGTTCTATGCCTTACGCTGATGCTTAATCATGCACAGGGTGTTGATACAACCGTATCGGGTCTAGGAAAGAACGTTGGAAATACGGTGAGTAGATCAGGCCCAAGGGTATTGACTAAATCGAGACAGTAGCGAAACGTTCTGCATCATATACTCGAGACTGATTAGGCGATGATACAGATCGGTGGCAGTGCTGGTAATCACATCGGCAAGACGAGCAAGAATGTTGGCAAGACCGTCGCAAGCACAACAAAAGGAGTCGGCAAAACAGTCGGCGATACCACCAGTGCGATTGGGTCTGGAAACATTGGAGGTATGGTGAGCGGAGCTACGGAAGGAGTGGTAAGTTTCGATCTTGTCTATTCATGACCTTCGATTCGATGAAGCATCTGCCTAATGCGATGGTCCAATTCGTAGGGTACGACCGTGAGCGGCATGGGTCAAGGGGCTGGGGACACTGTTGAAGGCTTGGGCGATACAGTAAGTCGCGATCACATGCCAGCCTCAATGGCTGACAAATCGCTTTGCGTGTTCGCCTGCTGAATACTTACTCTACGATTCTACCTGCTGATTACTCGGCAGGTCGGAGGCTACATCCCAGGGCGTGCCGGAGGTACAGTCCGTGGCCTTGGCAAGGGCGTGGGTACGACATTGACAGAGGTCACTGGCGGGGTTGGCGACGGCGTTGAAAAGATTGGCCAGGGTAATGTCATCGGCGGCGTCAGCAGTACACTTGGAGGCGTTGGCAAGGGCGTCTATGGACTTGGACGGGGCGTCTGGGGCGGTATCAGCGGAACGAATGCGAAGACCAGGGAACCTGTAGAGGAGGACACAGAATAGCAGATGAAGCAGGTGGCAAATAGCATGGGCAGCTTGGTTGATACGATGGGCTCTTCATCGTCGAGAAGTCCAGACGATCATGGTCGACGATGAGCAGTGGGAAGTGGAGTACTAATTGAACGACATATAACATTCACCAAAATCACGACGACAACGCACAAGAGAATTTGTTGTGAACGTTTCCATTCCTATCTAATCCCCGCCACGACACATCCTCAGTAAAAACCTTCTGCCATAAGTAAGGGCCAGAGGGAAAAGAGCGATGACTATCGTGGCTCTCTAAAGATCAAAATCGTAAATAGGCCACCCCTCCGCGTCCACCGGCTGCTCCATTTCTTCCTCCTGCCCCTCCTCCTCCCCGTTGAACGCCGCCTGCCACCCAGCCTCCAGCAAATCATCAAACTCAGCATCATTGTCATCCCCACCATCATTCTTCTCATCAGCATCCTCCTCATCCTCATACTCTCCCGCAGCATCCTCCTCACCACCCATCTCTTCAACACCAGCTCCAGCTCCGACACCAGCTCCAGATCCAGATCCAGATCCGAGAGCCGGCAGCAGCGTCCCAGTCGAAGAAGGTCCTGCTACTGCGGGCGTCGTACCCAGCTTGGCGTTGGCCTTAGCCTCCGCCCTCGACTTGGCCGTGGTCCCGTCCTTGTAAGTATACTCCTTCCGGGCCTTCGGCGGGACGTTGGGATCCTTAGGCTTGTTAGGGGACCCCGCCTTCCGCCCACGCTTCTGCGGCTCCCTGGGCAGAGCGTTGGGGTCCTTGGGCTTGTTGGGAGATCCAGCAGGCCGTCCCCTTCGCCGCTTACCAACCACGGCGGGCGCGGTGATGACGGGCGCGGGGACGATCTGATTGTCGTCGGCGTCGTCGTCCGGTCCAGCTCCAGAGAGGAGGTCGAAACGAGCTCCAGCTCCAAAGACCAGGTCGTAGCCAGCTCCAGCTCCAGCTCCGTATCTGGCAACAGGTCCAGACCCAGGTCCATACGGCAAGGCCGCCTCGGTGAAGCCAGGAGTAGTCGTCCGAAGACACTTACTCGGCTCTGAGGCAGCATCATCCGCCTCCCCCATCGAAGATTTCCGACGCTTCTGACCTCCCTCGGACGGAGCCAAGGAAGGCTGAGGCAGGAAGACCTCACGATGCGAGCTGGGCTCACCTAACCCGCACAACTCCGGAAACAGTGAGCTGAGCTCACAAGCCCCGTTGTAAAGCGAGGGGCAGAGTGCTGCACTCTCACCCATCGCCAGCCCGAAGAGCGAACCATCTGACCGAGGCCGGTCGGATGGCGACACCTCGGGTATGACGAGGTCAGGCTGGTCACCGGGGGTCAAAACCTCACCTAACGACGGTGAGGAAATCTATTCCTCGCCAAAGACCGGGAGGGTTGGCCCCAACGATGACGAGGCATCGATGTTTGGCGTCTGGTGGTCCGCCAGCACCGCGAAATCTAGATCACCAGGAACCTATCCAATGGGATCTAAACTCACATTGGCTGCTGACTCACCTTCAGCAAAGGGGTTGTCGGGGTAATCACAACGCGCGTCAAAAGACATTGCGATGTGAGGTGAAGAGGAAAGGTGAGGTGAGAGTGGAGGGTGAATGTGAAATGAGGGGATGGGAGGTGAAGTGAAGATGTGAGATAAAGAAACGGGAGGTGAGGTGAGGATGTGAGATGTGAGGAAGGTAAGGTGAGGTGAGATTGTGAAGTATGTGGCGTGATGTGTGAGATGTGAATGTGTTTGTATGTATAATCTTTGTTCTCAGAAAATGTGTGTGTGACAGTACAGCAATTTCTCGAGAAGAAAGATGTATGAGGAAGAGAGAAAGAAACACGAAAGAAACAAGACCGAAAGATTTACGACTCCCGAATAGTGGTGTTTCCTACCAGACTTCATCATAAGTGGGGCTTCACCACATCCAGTGATGCTCCAGTCTGGTTCGCGGCGTTCACACGGCTACCATTGGGGTGTCATACGTAGAATACACCGGCAAGCAGGGCAAGTATAGTCGACGACGCGCGTCCAGAACCGTCCGCCCGAGTTGCAACGACACGACCGCGAGGCTTGTTGGGAGAGCGATATCAATATGCGACATGAAAAGGGGCAGGTTGGACAGGATCTCATGCTCTGGCGACCATCTCCATTGAAGTCGCAGACGGTGAAGCTGCTCCCTGTGGTTCGAATGGCTAGGTGTGAATCGGCTCCGTAGATGTGTAGTGACTGCCTTCATGAGTGATCAGGCTATTGTCGCGTCCGTGTCAGTAAACCCATATATACGCCCGATATCATTGCTGGGCAAGCAGAAGCTACTAAGGGGCAACTCTTTTTTCCATCAACGACTGTCCCGTCGCTTCTGGTGACGATCTTACTGGCGACGCATGATCTCTACCAGATTAAGATGGCGAAGAGACATTTGATGAGACTTTCTTGCGCGACAGGAACCGCCGAGATTGCGCACATGAATATGCGGCCGGCTTCATGTCGACTTCGGCTACGAGGCGGCATCGCGATTCGAGTTGGAACTTCACGAAGGTGTTTGTGTCCTGAATAGAGGCATAACGTTTCATTATTCATATTTGCCTTCATTTCTTCTCCTCGACAGCTTTCTTCTTGGTCTTCTTCCTCTTGCTCCGATCTCGCTTCTTCAAGCTCTGCATGCCTGTCTTACATACTTCGGCATATCGCCCGAAGAAAGTCTCGATATCGTCCGGTTGTACCACCGTACTGAGCTTGACCTTTTCGCGGTTCTTTGTCCGATCTTTCGATTGCGATTTTCCGTCTGTCGCTCGTACGAGTAACGGAAGCGGTCGTTCTGGGTTCAGATCTTGCAGTGAATCACTGGAAACCTTTGCTGTCGCTGGATTGGAACTTTCATACGTCACTGGTTTGTCGCATTAGTCTTCTGTCTATCGCTCGAATACAATCGCACGACGGACAGCGCTTCTGGGTGAGGTATACGGAGCCATGGCCTTTGGCTTGTGTATTCGATATAAGCGTGGTGAGCTTCGCGAAAAACTGTCTACTCTTAGCCGTGCGCACTGAGATCATCCGAGGAGGCCTTGCATACCTCGTCGTTACTCAAGCGATCCGCCATGATGAGTGTCGCTCTGCGCCGTATGACCACACAAAATGATTGCGGCAATTTCGCAAATAGTGGTGAGGTCGAGATATGAAACGACGAACTCAAAGCGGCCGGAAGGGAGGATCGGGCCTTGAATTTGAGGCTCTCCAACGTGTGAAACCACATGCAGGGCGGCCGCGAGGGCTGATGGTGTGACGACATTGAGGTGCATTTTTCTCTGAACTTTTTGTGTAGAATCTGTTCGCGGACACGTGCGAAGCATGTGAGCAAGATATCATGAGTCACAACAGTGCCTATGCAGGCCCAAAATTGCCAAAGACATTACTCGATCAAGTACAAGATGGTCGCATTGGTAAAGACCGACGAGAACCATCGCGCAAATTGCGACGGCAGAATGAGCGCTCGTTGAAGAAGCAGCAGCACCAGCAACGAAACACAAGTCGAAATGTCGTCGCGAGTAAGCCCAATGCAAAGAATGGTTCCAGACCGAATGCGCGACAATCGCAAGAGACATCCGCTCGACGGGATGATCAGATTCGAAAAGCACCAGCAGTGAAGTCTGTTACCAGTAAAACTTATCGCCACCATCACGAGGCACTGAATGTCAGTGAATTGTCAGATGGAGAAAAGGAGGACGAGGACATAGATGTTGATCTCAACGAGGAAGACTCGGACGATGCGGAAGAGCAAGACGATGCGTTGGACGAGGATGACGACGAGGACGAGGACGAGGACGAGGATGAGGATAAAGGCTTGACGTCTTCACGCCCAAACGGTCGCATGTCTGCAAGTGCTAAGGCGCGACTTGAAGAAGACGACGCAGAGATTGCTCGACTAGAAAAGAAGTTGGGCATCAAAAAGTCGTCTAAGACAGGCCGCGACGACGAGCTGGACTGGCTGGTCAATGGGTCTGACAGCGAAGATGGCGATTTAGAGCCTTTGGCAAAGCGGAAACGAAGCAGTGGCGACGATGAATGGCTACAGAGTAAGAGACAGAAGGCAAAGGTTGGATCGCAGGTCAAAGAGGCAAAGAACACACCAGCAAGCAGCGAAGAGGAAGACGAAGGTCTCGACGGTATGGCTGAGTCAGATTCGGAGACCTTGGAAAACTCAGATCACTTCTCGGGCTTTTCTGAAGATGACGATGAGTATGTATCAGCGGATGAGCAACCAATCGCTGCTCCACCGAGAGTGCGTGAGAATCCATATGTCGCGCCTGTGACCAACGACAACCAACCTACAAAGTATGTCCCTCCGTCACTTAGAAAGGCATCAGCATCGGACACGGAGGCGCTGCGACAACTGCAGCGGCAACTACAAGGTCTTCTCAATCGTCTTTCGGAGGCGAACATTCTTGCTATTCTACAATCCATTGAGCAAATATATGCTAGCAACGCACGACAACATGTCACTGCAACCTTGATCGAGTTGTTAGGCACACGCACTGCGGATTTCGCTGTATTGAACGACACGTTCCTAATCCTTCATGCGGCGTTTGCGACTTCAGTGTATCGTGTGATTGGCCCGGACTTTATCGCCCAATTACTCGAGGACTTGGTCAGGCGCTTTGACGACGCATCTGCACGAGAGGAGGACGGTCAGGCTGGAGGCAAACAATCTCTGAATATCCTTGCATTCATGTCGAACCTCTACGTCTTCCAGGCGATTGGCTGTGAGATCATATTCGATCACATTCGTCTGCTATTAGACAACTTTTGCGAGGCAAACACGGAATTGTTGCTGCGAATCATTCGCACGTGCGGTCCCCAACTACGGCAAGATGATCCATCTGCGCTCAAGGACATTGTCCTTTTGCTACAGAGATCCATTGCGAAAGCTGGCGGCGAGAGTAAGGTGTCAGTGCGCACGAAATTCATGGTAGAGACGATCATGGATCTCAAAAACAATCGCATGAAGCACGGTCTCGGGGCTTCAGCAATGGCCGCAGAGCATGTGACAACGATGAAGAAGACACTGGGCACACTTTCTGCCAACAGTAGAAATGCGAAGAACACCGAGCCTCTGTCGATCGGATTGAACGACATCCGTGACAGTGACAAAAAGGGGAAATGGTGGCTCGTAGGCGCCAGCTGGCGCGATCCTGCAAAAATGGCCGACGCACGCAAACAGGCCCAAGAACAGCCTGTCGTCGCCAAGGCCGAGATCGACACCTTCTCCGACGACGAGACGGCGGTGGACCTCTCCGCGCTGGCCCGCGCCCAAGGAATGAACACCGATGTCCGCCGCGCCATCTTCTACGCCCTCCTCGACTCGGTATCCTATCAACACGCCCACGAGCGCATCCTCAAACTCAACCTGAAGTCCAAACAAATGCTGGAAGTCCCGCGCGTCATCCTCCGCTGCGCCGCAGCCGAGACGTCGTATAACCACTTCTACACCCTAGTCGCGAGCGAGTTCTGTAAAGAACATCGATTGCGCAAAGCGTGGGAGTTTAGCCTTCTGGATACATTCCGACGGATGGGCGAAGATCGCGACGATGAATACCCTTCGGATGATGACGATGCGGACGATGACGAGAAATTGAGTGTGCGGGAGACGTACAATCTCGCCAAATTATATGGCGCCTTGGTGGCGGAGGGACTTTTGCGCGTCACCATTCTGAAGACGCTGAACCTGTCTTCGCCGAAAGGTCTACAGCCCACGACGACGGTATTTGTGCAAGTCCTCGTCACGACGGTTCTGCTCGCGCTGAAATCGGCGTCGAAGAAGTCAGCCTCGGATGCAGTTTCCCAAGAGAAGGGGGAGACTGCTTTCGAGGCAGAAGTGAAATCGACGTTCGCTCATGCCCATTTCCTCCCTGATCTCCCGGTTGCATTACGATATTTCCTGGCGCGGTCCATGACCAAGACTGACATCGCCAGTTCTACGAAGAATAAGAAGGAGAGAAAGGCGGTGATGATCGGACTTGGATACGCATTGGAAGCACTCAAAGAGCAAGCTGCTGGGGCGAATGAATTGATGACGTCGGATGATGAGGATTACAGTAGAGATGATATTTAGGAGAAGAGGATGAAATGAGAATAGACAAGTTCTCGATAGGAGACTTGAAAAATGAAGACTAGTGGTCATTCATGGAGAAAGCGAACACTTTTCAAGAGCCGCTATAAGGATGTACGTCTGTGTCGTAAATTAACAAGCGAAGGGGGTATCCAGCGTAAAATCTAGAAGCAAAAGAACTCAGAACGCAGAAAAAGTTCCGGCAAAAAAATCCCTTCCGCTCCATCCTGTCAGGCCAGCGCCTGGAAGATCAAGCGACTCGCAATGCCCGTCCCAAACATGCCCGCGACCGAGATCAAGCTCGAAAACGACAGGGCGCCCAATCCACTTAATCCATGCCCGGACGTACACCCACTTCCTAGTCTCGCTCCATAAACCATCATAAACCCACCAACCAGTGCCTGCCAGAAAGGAATCTGCACCGTCGGCGAACTGCCCAAGGGAACCAAGCCGGTCAACGCGATACTCCCTGCAATCACGCCGGCGGCGAAGATAATCGACTTGGGGAGCGACTTTTCGGCTTTGCCTTCGCCGTCTTCGAGACCGAGCGCGCGGAGGGCGTATTGACCGATTTGGGTGTAGGCGGTGGACACGCCGAGGGGAGTGGCGGTCAACAGGAGGGAGAGGGCTTGTGCGACGCCGATTGCGAGTCCGCCTTGCACGGGCGTGATGGGTGGGCTGTTGGCGTAGGAGGAACGGGTGAAGGAGACGATGCCGATGATGCCGGCGGCGAGAATGGAGTAGATGGCGAGTTCGGGGACGTTGAGGGCCTCGGTGATGGTGGTTCGTCGCGGAGCGGTGGCGGTCTGCAGAGGAGAGGAGAGGGTTGGTGGGGAGGTGATGTGGCGGGAGTTGCGTTTGGACTTGGACTTAGATTTAGATTTCGGACTTGACCCACGGCCGTTCTTCAGGAGAGGCGATGATGGAGGTGATGGGGAGGAGCGGATGCTGGAGCCGTAGGCGATACCGCCGAGGATAGCGCCGATTCCGGCGGCGCGCGCGGAGGGGATGCCCTGGGCGAGTTGAACGAGGACGGTGCCCGGGCAGGCGCCGGAGACACTCATGCCGAGACCGACGAGGGCGCCACCGAGGAGGTTACCACCGTAGGGTGAGGTGGAACCAAGGGGGGAGTTGGCGCGGACGGGACGCTTGATGATGTCGAGGCGGTCGAGGACAAGCATGACGGCGCTGTTGGGAAAGATGTTAGTGCATGTTTCTTTGTTCGCGAACGGTCTAGTCGTAAGTTCGGTTCACGGAATGTTCCAAAATGTTTCACTTGATAGTGCATTCGACGGCGATCAGCCTCGCTGACGACATCGACCTTTCTGAAGGAATGGCGCATTCATCATCTTATCGCGATAAATGCGCAATTTGGAATTATCGCATCTTCGTTTGCTTCCTCTTCATTTTGTCACGAGATTCCGAACTAGTTGCATCTTGATCCGCGTTGTCCATCGCCACGAGACGTCCGAGGCGTAGACGTTGGATGATAGATTGATTACGATGATGAGAGACTTACGCGCTGGACCCCAAAGCGACAGCAAAGACATGCATCATATGGAAATCGGCGAGGGAGAACTGATCGAGGATGACGGAAGGCAACCAGACTCGCGAGGCAGTTAGAGCAGCCCCGAAGACGGCGCCGGTGCCGGCGGCGTATAAAGCGTCGGTGGCCATGTGGAATTGATCCAGAGACGGGATATGGGCGTAGTGTTGGTTTCACTTGTCTCGCGCTGCCTGCGGATTGTTGGTTGGGACGAAGGAAATGGGAGTCTCGGAGATATAATTTCTTAGGGCGAACCAGGTAGAAAGATAGAGAGAGAGGAAGTTATCGAAGGGAATGTTGTGGCGAGATGCGGCAGAGGATAGATGATAACTGGGAGACGGAAGAGCAAAGATGCGAAAGAGAGTTCGGGTCCAGTGGGATGGAACTACTGCATGTGTTCGTTGCTTCTTGCTAGTGTGCGATCACGTCAACGGGGACTGGTATCGATACATACCTAGGTGGGTATGTTACACGCACATACGTAGATAGGTACAGCACAGTGCTTTTCCCAGTGCGGAGGATGCGACTGCTTTTTTTCCTCAGACCGGAGAAGGAAGAGATAGAGAGGGAGAGAGAAGGACAAGACGAGTGGGTGAGTGAGTGAGTGAGCGATCGACGGATGATGTGAGGGAGATATGTGTGTATACAGTACATGTACAGTACAGCACAATATAGTACAATACACCCGTGCTTGGTACTCACGTACTCTGATCAATTGCCGTATGTGAATAGCACTACCACCTAGGTACTCCCTCCAACCATTGCAAATAATCCACCCCCATGTCGCGCATGTCCACCACCAAAAAAAGTCCCGCCCTTCCAAGGTTTACCTGACCGCGGCGCCGGGAGGGATATATATGTACAGTACACAGGGTGCCCGTTCACATAATGTACTGCCCAGGTGCACATAAAAATAGCCCTCTCATCCTCCCAGTGAGAAGAATCGTCCCATGCTGTACCAAATCTTGGTTCGGCTGTCTCGGCCCCGGCTGGTGATGGTGGTAAATAACTTAATCCTGTACATTATTATTATTAATTATTATTAAACGCGGCCACTCCGCTGTGTGGCGTACGGCGAACCCGCAAGTTTATCTCGTCTACCGCCTACCTTTACCTCTCTTCTTAAGAAAAGATGATCAGATCGTATGTATTTCATATGCACATAGAGATATGATTGATACGGGAGAGACTCCACTCCCGTCGAAACGAGGGAATCGTCACTCCAGATGGATCGAGCACGCGAACAACAACAACAATAATACAGTGCCAGGGACCACGCGGAGGGAGAGAAGAAATAGAAGAGACAGTGGGACACACGAGAGAGGGGCAGAAAGTGACGGGCATGCACCGTACGATGTAACAAACTCAAATCGCGCGCGCGTGCGTGCCTTGATCCGGAAATTGCGTGTGCAAACCACTCATCACTGTGCGCCTCATGTGGTAATCTCGTACAATACTCGTTCGCAAGTCCCGCACAATGGCGATGCCGTGCCATCCGCTCTATTGGAACACAGAGAACCCCATCATCTCATCATCTTCTTTGGAATCATCATTATTACCGGCAAGGAGGATACGCCATGGATCCCGCTCACCGTTGCGAGCAAATTCGAGTTGTGTGCTCTTATCATCACCACGCGCGGGGGATTCGCGCATATGTGATAAGCCCGACATGAGACATGGAAAGAGAAAAAAGGCGTACAGCACCACATTGTTCTGTAACCCGATGCATATGCTGTTGTAGATAGCGCTGCAGAGGATGTGCACCCATGTGATCACCTGCACACATGCATGCACATTCCGGATTCCATCAAGATTTCGTCCCACGGCCAGGGAACAGGGTTGGGCTTAAAATGGGATTCGGGATATCTGCGAGGCGAGCTTCCGTCGTGCGGCGGGCGGGAAGCCGTACGTGCATGCAGCAGACGTGCATATGCCGAGCGAAGAGGACGACACAGTGCGAGAGGTGCAGGACGGCCGGTTTGCCACTCGCTCCACTCAGTCGCTGGGGGATTTACCTGACTCGCTTTGTTATTACTTGCCTGCTAGACGCGGATCGAGGATACAACTTCTGCGACGCGGCAGTCATGGTCCGTGTAGAAAAGGCAGGAGGAAAGTGTATGGAGGGAAGTAGAGATGACAATTTCGTGCGGGCAGGTATGTTCCCTCGTACATCTTACATACCACGGACGAGATCCGTGAACGCACGCCTGCGGACAGAATCAGAACAGGAATCCCGAGAGAAACGAATCTCAAATTCAACCCAACCACACTTCCGGACACACGCGCGCTCGCACTTCAGAACACACGTGAGGTCTGTGAAGTAGAAGATGGACCGTTTTCCATCGGTGATGGCGCACATGTAATGACCGGCACTCAACACGTGGGATGCTTGCCATGAGAGGGGACCAGATCGACGATGATGACTGGTGGTCGTGATGAAACACGAGAGAGATCCGAAACACACGACGACGACGACGACGACGACGATGCTCCACAAACTTTCCGCTGACAATGCGCAGTGCTTGTACAACGAAACGACAACACCTAGATTTCAAATCACGCGTGGAAATGCCTTCTATACCATGGCTGTAGCACAGTAGTACAGAACGCGTCACCTTTACTCTCGAGGAAACACGGGTGATGAGAGAAGAAAAGAAGAAAAGAGGAGGGAGTGTGTTCTTCTTCTTCGCATATGATCATTTTTTTGTGTTCTCATAGTCTAATTCCACATGAACATCATCATCGTCGACAAGCATCTGTACAATCGCCAGAATCGCGTTATGCAGGGATCGCTTTGAGAGGCGTCCCAGCATGTTTCTCAAGATAGAAGCCAAAGTCCGGAGCTATGTTATACCAGCTTTCCACACATCGGTCGTCTCGTGCGAATGGTCGAGTTTCTGGAATTTCCTCTCGGGTTGTAGAGTGTCATCCGGGCGAGCGATACCCTCAAGTCTCATCGCTGGAACAAGAGGATACGCTCAAGCCTTTCAGCCTCTGTCATACCAACCCATCATAAAGCGACAACGCCGATACGATGGTCTCGTCTCGTTTGCTCCCTTCCTGTAACACGGATGAATAGTCAGCCACAAGACATCCCTCACACACGCGCGCAAAAGCCTCCCATGCTTTTCCTTTTCGAAACTCACCCGAAATTCATTGATGTCCAGGCTACCATTCTCATCCTTGTCCATCATCCGGAAAATCTTGCGTACTCGCTTCTCCGGCGTATCCTCGTCCTCGGGCAGCTTCACCATCGAGCCGACCATTTTGTAAATCGCCTCGACAATCGCCAACATCTCCTCGTAGCTGATGGCGCCGTCCCCGTCGATATCGTAGAGTTGGAAGGCCCATTCCAGCTTGTCCTCCATCTTGCCGCGGGAGGTGACGGACAGCGCGCAGATGAATTCTTTGAAGTCGATGGACCCGCTCTTGTCGGCGTCGAACACGTTAAAGACGTAGTCGGCGAAACTTGACGGGTCGCCAAAGGGGAAGAACTGTTTGTAGATTTTCTGGAATTCAGGTTTGGTGAGGGTGCCGCTGGGACAATCCTTGAGGAAGCCTGTATGGAGATATCCCATGTCAGCATATCATGTTCGTGTGATTGTTCCGCTCGAATGCCTGTCCCTCCGAATATTCCGACTGGGTGGGTTTTGAATTTGAAGCACACACCCTTGTACCATTGTTGCAATTCCTTCTTGTCGAAATAAGTCGCCTTTTGCAAATCTACCAGCTCCTGCTGTGACAGTTTACTCTGACTACACATCGGGACGAACCCCACCGTCAGCATTCTCTCCTCGGGACCAATCTCGACATGTGTGACTCCGGTGCTCTTGGTCAATTCCGGATGAAAGACATCTGCGAGGGCGATGCGCAAAGCACAAGCTCGCTTTTTGATGTACGATGGCCAGCTGTGAGAGACCGATCGCGGGATTTTGGCAGGTCGTTGGCGCGCGGCATGTCCTACAATGCTGGTTCGGCGACGGGGAGTGTATGACTGGCCTTCGTCGGGGATGCAATGACCAAGCGACAACTCGCGGACGGAGGGCATGTCCATCATCCGACTCTCCATCATATTGAATAGGCGAGGCACGTATATTGTGCGTGGCGCAATTGAGTTGTGATCCAGTTTTCAGTGTCTCCTTCTCTTCCCGGTCGACTCGCGCATGTAGTAGATCCGACGCCGTGGGGTCCGGTTCAGTGGGAGCACAGGTCGTAGAAGTAGCAGGAGTAGTAGTGATGGTGGTGGTGTCGTTGTTTTTGCTGTTGCGACGACGGCATCGGACAATTGGAAGGAGCAGGAGTGGTAGGGAAGGAGAAAGAGAAAGGGAGGAAAGTGACACTGACCTCTTGCCCATGTTGAACGAATCCCACTGGAATGCCGAGAGAGGAGGATGACCGGAATACTGGAAGCGAACGGAGCTGTCAAGGATGGATGGGATCAAGCAGTGAATCGACTCTAACCACTGTGACTACCCACTTCCTTGGGCGCGAGCAGCGATGATCTCTTTTGTATCACTTCTTCCAAGAGTGTGTCAGGCGGCGGAGGGGCGGCGCAGGTTTCGGAGATCGTCGATAACAACCCAATCACGTAGGTAGGTGGTGGGTACTGTATCTACTGGAATAAATGAAAAGGGTAGCTCCCCGGAAGGAATGATGTAATTTGAAAGTCGAAGTTGCGGAGAGATTTGGGAAGGTGAGACAAAGGCGACAGGACGGTCAGCAAATCTTCCCTGTCTCCTTGGAACGTCGTCAATGTACTGTAGATGTGTGTGCGTAAGATGTGTATGTAGGAATGAGGGGATGAATCTGTAGGGAGTATATATTAAATAACAAATGCTGGAAGGTTTTCTGCTGAACAACCAACAACACTACACTTCAGCAGCTAGTGGCAGCGCCTACAGCAATACCTAGGTAAGCAGCGACAACGTCAGGATCCATATATAGAGAAAGTCAACATGGGAAATACTCCCGTCCCTCCTCCTCTTCCTCCGCTCCCACTTCTCACACTTCCCACGTCCGCCACCACCTGATCGAGCTCCTACAGCGGTCATAATCCATGATACCAAGCCAGTCCGCGCGTATGTCATCCATGTCGGCGTACGCTGGTTTCCAAGGAAGGTTGCTTCGTTTCGGCGGTAGGCGTCATGAATGTTATCGCGACAGGCGGGCGATAGGCGAAGGGAACGGCCTGGTTCACCCCGCAGGTGACGGTGATGGGAATCGTTAGTGGGCGGTGGCTGCTTTGCACAGCCCCACGGTTCTTCCCGCCCCGGAGGAATGACCTACAACTGGAAGGAACCTTGGAATTCGGGCGGGTAACTGCACCTGGGCAAACATCGTCATTAGGGTTCCTTTGCCCCAACTTTGCCGCACCACTATCAGACTGTGACTATGCGCCTTGACACCGATCTGCCGTCAACCTGGACCTCATAACGAATGCGGTCTGTTTTACATAATCATAATATGACGCCAGTCTCACGCGGCTCATAGACTTGACAGATGAATTTAAAGAACAGAAGTGGGCAGACGGCGTCGTTCCCACAGGTCAAACGCGCGGCTGTCGTTTGTTTGCGAAAACCAGACGGGATATTGTCCAGCTACGACGCGTGCGCCTCCCTTCATCGCATGTACTTGGCGACGTGTATGTCGGTCATAGGCGAGTGGCGAGTGCAACTGCCTATTCTATGAGGCCGCATGGAGCGAGTAGCTGAAGGCATGACATGTAGTTGGGTTGCTCCTCGTTTCGCATGGCACCACATCACCGGTGATAAATGTAAGCCTTGACGGACAACGTGGAGCAATAACCCTAAAGACATCGGAGCCGGCCATCACCATGAATTTTGACCTTGTGATAATCTAGATAATTGTGAATGATGGAGAGTGCTGGGTGAGAGCGAAGCGTTGAAAAAGTGAGAAACCCCTATTGAGAGACGGCGAAACCGGTGTATGTACATCTCACATCTGCAAGCAAAAGTCATACACGAGCCACACCTTTTCAAAAGAAGATTCATCAGGCGGGAGAATCCAGGGATTCAACCTGGGTAATCAGCACGCCTATCACTACGCCTTCCCACGGCACGTATACCTCCAGAATCAATGGCGGCTTCAGTGGCCTCATCATCTGATGCTCCTTCAGCGGCATCGACTGCGCGATCCAATGCCCTGCAGAACCGCATCACTGCAGTCCTCTCAGCCTCATATGCCGATCTCGAGATCCGAGATGCCTTGAACGTCCTCGACGAGCGAGGTTGGCAAAATAATGCCGAATCGCGTCGTAACCTCCGTCTAGACGTCCAAGCCGAGCTGATCAAATGCAATGGCGAGATTGTACAAGACTTTGGATTGGTGGCCAAGCAGCTACAACGGGTCGGCGCAGCCATCGCCAGTCTCGATGCCAGCTGTGCCGAAATGCGGAAACACATCTCGGCGGCTCAGCGTGAGACCGGGCCAATGCTGGATGAAGCTCGGGCGATTCTCCGAGAGAAAGAAAATGTCGAGACGAAGCGCAAGCTCTTTGATGCTTTCACTGCTCATTTCGTCGTGTCCGAGGCGGATCTCGCCACGCTCACGTCGACGGCTGAGCCGGTCAACGACTCTTTCTTTCGCATTCTGACTCGTGTGAAGAAGATTCATGAGGACTCTCAAGTCTTGCTCGGCTCGGAGAATCAACGATTGGGACTTGAGATCCTCGAGCAAAGTTCGCGGCATTTGAATGCGGCCTATCAGAAACTATACCGATGGGTACAACGGGAGTTCAAATCATTGGATCTCGAGAACCCTCAGCTCGGCTTCGCTATCCGTCGTGCCGTACGTGTTCTCGCAGAACGACCTTCGCTGTTCCAAAGCTGTCTTGATTTCTTCGCGGAATCGCGGGAACAGATCTTGTCCAGCAATTTCTATGCTTCCCTGACCGGCACTCCAGTCGACCAAGACCACCCGGTCATGGGCAAAGCCATCGAGCTCTCTGCACATGACCCGTTACGCTACATCAGCGATATGCTTGCTTGGGCACATTCTGCAACCGTCTCTGAGCGGGAAGCACTCGAGATTCTTTTCATCGCAGAGGGAGACGAAATCGCTCGCAACATTCAAGCAGGATTGGAGACGGAGCGGCTGACTGACCCTGAAGACCCCGAGCAGAGTGGAGCCCCATTTGATGGACGTCATGCTCTGGCTGAGCTTCTTGACCGTGTCCTCGTGGGAGTTTTCCGGCAATTGAAACAGCGGAGCGAACAAGTCGTCCAGAGTCACGATGACGCTCTGCTCGCCTACAAGGTCTCTAATTTGGTCGGCTTCTACACGACGAAACTCTTCTCTCCACTGCTGAATACGATGTCGTCATTGATTCACGAGATTCTCGACCCGCTCTCCAATGCTGCCGTCGCGGCCTTTCGCTCCAGCATGCGCGATCGAGTCGTGACCACCAAAACCGACGCCCTCGCACTCCCACCAGACGCCAACAGCCTCTCACCCCCCGACTTCCTGATCGATGCCCTCGAGACTCTCCATGGCCTCATGCAAAGCTTCGACTCCACGTCATCCGGCCCGACCACAATCTCGTCCCGAGCGGAAGCCTTCTCCCCCATCCTCGACGAAGCCCTGGATCCATACCTCGAAATCTGCGACCTTCTCGCTACGCGCCTGAAATCTCCGCCTCACGCCACCGACGTCTTTACCGTCAACTACCTCAACAACGTACACGCCGTGCTCGTCTCTCAGCCGTTCACTTCGCCCCGCGCCGAGACTTTACAGCCCTACCTCTCCGCGCGCGAAGCCTCCCTGGTGAATGCAACATACACCTGGTTCCTCCGAACATCCAATCTCTCCGCCCTGATCGACACCATCGCCACCGTCGACAACCTCGCCTCATCCTACCGGGACCCGCGTGCTCTATCAGATGTGGCGCGGAAAATCGACGCCTTCCTCCCGACGGCGACGGAGGACGTCCGGGCCATGGACGGAGGTGTTCTGGGCAGACTGCAGGATCCCGCCATGGTGAGGCGTGTGGTCGAAGCGGCGGCGGAAAGATTTGTAGATGAGTTTGAGAGGATCGAGGAGCTTGTTGTGGAGGCTGACAAGGCGAAGAGGAGGGGTCTGGAGGAAGGGGTCGGTGAAAATGAGGATGAGGAAGATGACGAGGAACAGGTTTGGTTGAGAGAGATTTTCCCTCGCACAGTGGATGAGATTCGCGTCTTGCTTAGTTGAGTTTGGAAGGTTTTCTACAGATAGGGAGTCGATGTGTTGAGGCCATTGATCATAATGAAATTCGGTGCGAACACGACATCACGGATGTTGCAAATTCTCGATGCCGATCTACCATTTTCAATTCCCGAGTCCGTTATGCAACTTGAAAAGAGATCTACGAAGACTGAACACCCTCCGCAGCCAACGACAACTTCTCCAACGCCTCCTCCGTCGACTTCCCTACACTCGCCTCCTGCGCATCCGGTCCCTTGACCGACCCATCCGGCTGGACCTCCAATTCCGTCCCTTCACCCGCCTCATTCTTCGCCGCACCAGGGAACCTCGTGCCAATCTTCTTCTCCTTCTTCTTCTTCTGCACAGGGGCCGGAGGCGGGGGATAAGCCTTCTGCTCCGTCTCTTTCCACTCCTCATTACTCTCGAAGGCCTTTCGAATCGGCGCGAGAATCTCCAGAAGCGCCTCCGTCGTCGCGGGTTTGAGCGTCTGCGGCTGCAGAACATCCGCCAGGTAATCCGCGCGCATGCTCTCGATGTCGGTGTACTCGAGGGGTTCTGCATCGCGACGGGGCACGACGAAGCGGGGTTTCCCATCTGCACTGCGCAGCGCGGAGGCCGGGAGGAGGACGTATTCGACGAAGGAGAGCACGCCGTTGCCCTCGACTTGCTTGGGCGGACAGAAGGCTTTTTTCATCTTCTTGCGCACGACATCGGGGGCGTCGATGAGGTCGATTTTGGAGTCTGGGTCGGAACTGCTCATCTTGCCGCCCTCCTGGAGACCCGGGATGAGCGGGTTCATGAGGTGAGCACGTTTGGCGAACCCGACTCGCGGCAGGGCTTCGACGGCCAGGGTGAAGATCTTGCGCTGGTCGACGCCGCCGAATTGGGCATCCACGCCGAGATATTCCTCGTCGAGGGCCTGCATGAGCGGGTAGATTTGGGAGGAGAGAGGCGGGCTTTCGACTTGTTTGACGACTTCGCTGCCGGCTTTGGTGGCGTCGTGGCCGGAGACGGCGGTGGACAGGCGCAGGAGGTCCATGAAGTATTTGGCGCCGCTGGAGCCCGTAGTCTGGTAGCTGGATCCCAGGACGAATTTCAGGCGGGAGACATCGACGCCGACGGCTTGTAATGTCTCCGTGATGCAAAAGTTGTAGTATTTGGCTCGGTGTTCGATTAATTCGATCGGGGCTTTGAGGTTGTCGAGGAAGCCGTGCACGTCGGCCAGGAGGACGGTGACTTCTGAGCCGGCGGCGAGGAATTCGGCGATCTTGAGCATAGGAACGAAGTAGCCACAGTGAGGCTTTCCTGTTGTGGCCGTGCCCCAGTAGATCTTGAGTGGTCGTTCATTTTTGTTGAGAATCTCGGAGATGATCTCCTCGTTCAAAACTTCTTGCAGATTGTGTTTGATGAGCGCGAGTTTTTCGGCGGCCGTCTGAGTTGACGTAGTGCTCGCCGCCTCAGCCATGTTGGATGATATCTTGTGCTTGTGTCGATGATGTGCAGTGATGTCTTTCAGATGCAATTGCGTTTTCGCTATTTGCTTGTTTCATATGTCGTGTCCCGTGGTCTTTCCGAGATATTCTGTTGTACTGTTTGTACTTGAGTCATGTCCCGCATTGGATGAACTCACATCAGAACTCATATCAGAACTTCCCAATGTGGGGATGTATAGTGGGACATTTTGGCCTGAATAGGATTAGACCGCGTATAGAGCCTTGTGAGCGGTAGATCTCGTTAGGCATAAACTGCCGGACCCTTGGGCGTCTGTTTCGGGAAAGGCGGCATCTGACTTATGTAAGGCGGAGTGGCGATAACGTACCCTACTACCGAGCCGGTCACACTACCGAGCCGGTCAAGTTTCCGTCCAATGTGCCTTTGACGACTTATTGCAATTACAATATTATAGCTATACTAATAACGACACCAGTATTACAAAGTACAGGTTCTACAGTTATGCTCAAATGAACCACATCTACTACACCTGCTTGGTGCTTTTGTACGAGCACGTTTTGGCTGCTCAATTAGTAATGCTGAATCAATATTCTCAGCATTATTCTGCAATTGCTCCGCAACTACCTCGTTCTGAATAGACTCCTGCCCTTGCTGAACAGTCATTGATCCTCCCCGCTGGATGTATCCTTTTCGACGGGCTCGCTTCTGCTTTTGATGATTATTTTCGGCTCGAAGGGCAGCTACCTCAGCTAACAAAAGGGCCTTCTCGTGTACAACATTCTCAAAGCCTTTTAAAAGCTGTCGGAAGGGTTGATCAGCTGAAGAAGCAGACGACCTTCTTCGTTTACGGTTCTCTGTTAAAACCAGCTTTGCCTGCTTCTTAACCTCAGGCAGAGTCTTAGGAGTTTTGGGGTCCCATGAGGACTGGCTGCCTTGTGGTGAAGGAGTAGTTTC